CGTAGATGATGATAAATAACATAGTTATGTATAATATATTACATTTCTGACTGTATATCCCTGTAATTATTACACACTGTAGCTTTAAGTGTTTTAACACCACCTACAGGACTGGAGTGAGAAAGTCTGTGTGTTACTTCGGTTAAATGTAATATGACCAAAACTGAGTTCCTCTGTGATATGAAAATTGTGTTTTGTTAAATCGCAATTGCAATTAATTACCCAGCCTTGGACGTATTACCTAAATTAAATTCAGTGAAACCAATTGCCTTCAGAACTCACCAAAAGTCTAAATAAAACTGTTTGGTTTTAATGCAAATTTGGTATGTGGCAGAAAGCTAACCATGCATATCACCAACCCCAGCAAGATATTCTTAACATGGTAACACATGGCGGTGGAAGCATCATGCTGCGAGGATGCTTTTCTTCAGCAGATACAAGAGAACTGGTCAGATTTGATTGGAAGATGGAAGGAGTTCAAATAACGGTAATAATTATAGAAAACTTGTTAGAAATTGCAAAACACGCAAGTCAATAGCTGGATGTTCCTGTTCTACTGAGATCCTGACCCTAATCATACAATAGAATGATTTAGATAGAATGCTGATTAGTTGGCAGCCAATTCAAAGCACAGGCCAAAACAAATTGAGAATTTATGTACGTAATATAATTGATATTTAGAGAGACTATACATCTAGTCTGGTTCATCTTGAGTTATTCTACAGAGAAGAATAGTTAAGAAAGTGAGTTCTAGATGTTTATACATATAAAGTCAATCTTTTTAGGGTTCAATTTTGTAAAAGAAATAGAAAATCATGCATCATTTTCCTTGATCATCAAAATTATGTACTTTTTTGCATTAGTGTACGACATAAAATACTAATAATATACATCAAAACTGTTGGTTGTGATGAACCATTGATAAGTTTAAGGGTTATGAATGCTTTTGCAAGACAATGCAGATTTGCACAATAGTTCTTCACTCATTTAATTCTCATGCCTGCTCATACTTTACTTTTTTTTAATGCATGAGCGGTACATGAGCAGAGACCAAAAGGCAATGTTAACGGAGCAGTGCAGCAGAAAGAGAAGCTGGACAGATCAGGTTTCATTTTCAGTTAACAAGCCTTTCACAGGCGTCTAGACTTTATCTGTTGGCTCGCTCTAACTAAGACAGTAAAACGAGGCGTCAAGGACAAAGAGGTGTAACAGTAAAATGTTTGAAAATGACAATAGAGGGACATGATTGTATAACACAAACAAAGGCATTGCGTTTACTCTGTCATCTCATAGATTTCACTCTTCTCTTACAGATTTTCTTGCAAACTCAGAGGGAAAGCAGCAAAGAAATCCAATGTGCCCAAAGTGTGTCTCATTGCAAATTTATTTCAAGGCCAGATAGGAATGATCAGATGGTTAAAAGTCTTTCATAATCCCAACCTCTGGTTTCAGTTTTTGCACAGTTAATTCTTAGTTGTTGACACCTTCCCAGCTGAAGCTACTTAACCATAATTCCACATAAGGCTCCAGCTCACTTCTTTACATCACTCCAGTGTATTAATCTTTTCCTCCAATATTTGTTTTTTGGGTTCAACCTTTGCATCCCATTTCCTTGAGCCTATTTGTGAGCTCAGACTTTTTTTGAATTGTACCCAAGAAGCGACATGTAGCAAAAAAAAAAAAAAAAACTCCCACGCCGTCCCAACCTACCCTTCCTCTGTCTCTCTGTTATGTAACAACTTCAGTGATCTACTGTCAGCGGCCACTCATCCTAAACCTTGCATGCCTCCCTTTCGCAGCTTTTCTGTCTACTTTCTTGGCGCTAAAGATCGCACCAGTCTTTTTCCCTGTCACCCAAACATCAAACACTCTTTTGATGCATGGACCACTTTGCAGTACTGGCTTGACTACAGAATCAAAGGTGAAGTAAACTAAAGGCGGAAACAATGTGTTATGGTGCAATACTATTTTTTTTTAACAAATATACATTCCATAATTAAAGTTCTTATCTTTCCCCGCAAACCTTTGCTCAAACAGTTAGGTGTGACAGTGTGTGTGTGGATGTTTGAGATCCTGACTGCCACAGGCACAGCTGGCACAGACTGGTTACATAACCTGGTTTGTAGCTTCATAGCTGCAGCATCCCTCCCTGGATGGCTGACAGTAGACCTCAGACTCACACAGACATGTACACACATGCCTGCATGTACTTGTCTGACCCACTATACAGATGGTATCGGTAATAATGACCAGCCAGAGGCAGACAGTGTTATCTGCACATCTAGATGATTGTGAATGAATTTTTTTTTTTCTTATTTAGAAGAGTTGGATATTAGTTTGATCTAGAGAAAAAAAAGAATGTTATTTGCTTTGTAAACACAGGCAGACTCCTCTTGGTGCTCTCATTTCCTTCCTCCTCCTTCTGCTCATCCTCCCCTTTCCTTGTCCATTTTTTCCACCTACTCTTTCCTCTCATTTATCGTGCTATATCTGTTTACAACCCTTCTGTTCCACACTTGAATGTCCAAGAGTTTTTTTTTTTCTGTAGACATCTCTTATTTTTGAACCCGGTTTTTGCAAACCATAAAATAATTAATGTTGGAGGTGTCCAACTGAGTTGTTTTTAAAGAAAAATCTCTTTTTTTAACATTAGGAATATATATATATATATATATATATATATATATATATATATATATATATATATATATATATATATATACCACATGCAGTATTTAGCACTTTATGGATTGGGGTGTCCCGCCTTTTCTTTAGGTATATAAAAGCCAAAGGGGTTGATTACCAGTGCACACCGCTTATTTCAGATTTTCATTTATAAAAGTGGAAGAAAAGTAACATGCATACCTTTTAATACACTTGATAATATGGCACTAATTGTGTTGGTCTACAACATGAAACAAATGGATAAGATCTGTACTTACAATGTGACAAAACATGAAAAAGTAAAACTGAGAACCTGGTGGAAACTGTGAATCTGCAAGAATATAGTGTCAGCAGTAACACATAAAAAGCAAAGAGGACCCTGATCATTAACTTTTTGTTTTCAAAGCAGGAAAAGATAGACATACTGTATAAAAGCATGTGCACAATTTGAAGCTCTATTACCCCCGTGTGTCTGCCACGGCAGCTTGATTCAAGGGTCACAACATTCAAGCCAGCCATGTAATGCAGGCTCACTCTTCCATGTGGGCTTGTGAGTGGAGCACATTGTTACCTTAAAACTGTTGACACAGTCAAAGCTTAATGCCTAATCAGAACAATAGGTAGCTCTGTTACAACACTACCAGGCAGTTCACTTAATCATGGATACGATCTTTTAAATAATTACGTGGAGTTCTGATATAACGGCTGAGAATTGCACCATTTTCCCAAATATGTGCGTGCACACAATTAGGATGCTGGGTTGACCAGAATTGCAGTTGCATGAAGAAAAAACAAAAGAATAGAAACTGACTGTTGCACAAAATTAGATGATCCAATGATAACACTGAGTCCCACCGGTTTTCAAAGGGAAAAGATTGGTCCCAATTGGCTAAACGACGAGCATTGTGCAATAATCCGTTTCTGCCAAATCTTTATGCAACTTCAGAACTCAAAATATGATTCATGCGCTTCTGAATGGAGATTAATAAAAAGGCCATAGAAGCACGCCTCACCGAGAACATTATTCATTTATGTCCAGGTGGAAGTGAGAGGCTTCTTCAGCAGCCACACCGCTACCTGCGTAACATAATATCACTGATGGCGTCATAGCCCAAGGATCATCATTACAGCATGCAAATGTGAGTGCATTCTGCAAATAATGGGTGCATCTTGCAGGATTTTAGCCCTTTTATCTATTGTGCTAATTGTGATCTGCATGGTTTCAGTAAATAGTCTGCTGTTGGATGATTACAGTTATCAATGAAAAAGATGTGCTGCCCATTCATAACCACCTGGCCCATTCATTTCTTTAAGTGACTCGATAAAACAGGCAACCTATTGTTATCCTTCCACAAGCTGAATCACCCAGCCTTCAGATGCAGCACGAAGCAGGTGCAGCAGCCTCTCCATCCCAAGTGATGCGGTGAGGAGTCTTGCGTAATGAGCCAAGCCCATCCGCTTCTCAATGACACTGGATGAGAATCTAAGGGTCGCTGTGGCATCCAAGAAATAACAATATTTCCTCAACATATAATTACATTAGGGAAACCACCTGCAGTTCAATTGCAAACGGATTTTTTTTGCGACTATTTAAATACCATGAAAATGTCAAAAAGGAAAACGCTATTTAGCACATTTAGGGTGGAAACCTTGTTAGGGGGCTGCTTTGTGCACAAAGAGGGTGGAAAGAGGGGCATGTGACTCGGTTTGGCTGCAGGAGGTGGTCCCTACCTTCCGACGGTTCCGGAGTTGACCCACATGCCAGTCTGCTGGGGGTTCAGCCGGTCAGAAAACCGGACAGAAACGCGCTGAGAACTAACAGACAACCGCGTTGATTCCGTTCTTCGACAAAGAGCACAGAAAGCTGCGGATAGGACCTCTGCCCTGAAACATCCTCCCTCTCCTCCTCTTCTTCCGTTCTGCTACCTTCTTTTTTCTTTCTTTTAGTGTCTCCCTGAGCTCAGCAAGTACCGAAAGTCTGCCGTAAATCTGATCTGCTGATTTGTTTCTTTCTGAGTGACATATGGGCGCAACTTGTCGACTGATTTCTATCGTCTGAGCCCCGCTGCCCTCCCCCTTTTGTGTTGTTGTTGCCCCAGCTGATTTCACAAGAGACACGCCCCCACGGCGCTACGTCACCGCCCAGACGCCAAACTCATCCCGTGAGGCGTTCACGTTCGGTAGGAAACGAAGCATCAATCTTAAACACAATCCAAAAGTAAGCCATTTAAAAGCAACTCAGGCGTATAAAGATTAAATAAGCCAAACTTCATTCTAGTTGACTCAAAAAACATTGTTTACAGCTGTACTGAAACATAATTAGATCAACTTTTTTATTTTCTTTAGTTGTTTCTGCATTTTTTATTTTATTTTTGTCCTACTTGCATTCTGTTTTATTTTCCTATATTTTAATCATGTAAAGCACTTTGCATTGTCTTTGTACTGAATTGTGCTATACAAATAAATTTGCCCGCCTTGCCTTGCATCTTATATAAAAATGAATTTGTACTTTAATTTTATTGTGATTTAAAAAGACCTTTGTAGACTCCTGATGCTTCAGTTTATCCGATTTAATTCAGTTAATTTATGCAGATTAGTGCACTAGAAAGGTCTTCTCAGGCACTAAAATGACAAAATTAATCAAAATAAGGGAGAGATTCAAAATATTCTTCATACATTCTGATTTAATCCCAAGTATATGCTGATAAATCCAATTACAAATGACAATTCACGAAAAAACATATGGACAAAAGTGACACATCTTCCCAAACAAATGCTTGTAATCTTGTTTGCTAAGAATCAGCTTTGTTAACCAAGTTTGTAAAGCAAATTTACCTGTGATGACACTTTGCACTGAGTGACAACATTAATTTATAAACATGTGAGAAGGGACATGAAAATTAATGTTTTAATTTTCAATAAGGATATATACTGTACAGAGTTTTTAGAAAACAGGAAGAGAAGCTTCATTTAATGGAAAACTGTATTCATCTGTACACTCTGGCGACACTGTTTACTAAAGAGAAAGCCTGGGAAAGACATCCTCTCTCCTCAGTTGCAGGTGTTTTTTTTTTGCAAATACTGGTCTGTAACATCAACCTTAATATAAACATGTAAAGAGTTAATGTGGAGGAACTGTGTTTTCTGCAGAGATGATAGAGGTGTCCCTGTTTTTAGAGCAGTACAAGTTCTGGATGGAGTAAACATCGCTGCTGAACTAATTCTTCATTGCAATCTGACAGACTGACTGATGGCAGTGTTGAAGTTGAACAGCAGCTACTGGAAGGGTTTATTTCTTGAGAAATACAGGAAGTACAGTTTTTGCTAGGTCATGTCATGTGAAAGGTTGTTTCGATAAACTAGAGGTGAATTTAAGCAGAGTTGCGGAGGATGAGGGGAGGAAGAGGGGGGGTATTCTACCATAGTCTACCACCATCTCCACTGTCATTCATCATTTAAGCTCACCTCTTGTCTGTACGCAGACTTGTCATTGTTCTGGATTGGACCAAACTACAATATTCTAAATTGCAGGTGCAGTTCAATGACTTTCTATATGTATGTAATAGTGCTTTCATCAAAATATAATTTAAAGTTTGTGTGCCAGTAACTCCATAAAAAATGTGCAACATATATTTTATATAGATTCACCACACAGTGGTAAAATTCCAGCATTTATTTCCAATCATACTAAATGCCTTTCAGCTAAAAAAAAATCATGCAACTCAGTTTCTCCAAAAAAAAAAAAAAAAATCATAAAGACAAAAAAAAAGTTCTAATACAGCAGTACCTTCCAGATGCTAATCTTAACATTGTAATTTATAGTGTACAGGGGCTCAGTACCAGATCCTTCTGTATGAATAACATTACAGCTTGTAGGTGATCAGCCTCTGGCTATACTGAGCTGTTAGGGAACCACACCTTGCTTTAATGTTGCCATTCAGCACCGTTAAGCCTGGTTTCCCCCACTTTTCTTTTGACAATACTCCCCAGTTTTTGTTTTTTACATGCTGTGGGTTGGATAACTTTACTGGCTAATCCAACTATTGATTTTTAGTTCTGTCCAGGTGCTCTGCCCTGCTAGAAAATATAACTAGAATCTTAATAAATCCATATAGCAAATGGAAGCATTATATGATCCAAAAGTTCCAGTTGGATTGTTACTCTGACTATGCAGTTTATAAAGCGCTGTGAACCAACACCAGCAGATGACACGGCGCCACAAAACCTCACTGATTGCGGGGACATCACACCGAACTGGAAATTAGCTAGGTTTCTATGCTGCTCCACTTTTCAACCACAATCTGAGACCTTGAATAAAAAAAAAAAAAGTCAAATTCCTTTGTCTTAATATAAAGAAATGCCACAATTGTAGCCCTTGTCCTAGATACATCATTGTGTGATGACTCTGAAAGCCATTTCAAGGTTTTCCATGAAAACAGGATGCAGCAGCCAATCACATTGCAAAGAGCAGATAGCATTTTATCCACAAAACTTTCCTTTGTCTGTCCCGTTTTCTCTGAATACCATTAAACAGACTGTTTGTAATTAGCAGAACACTCACGTCCTCCCTTGCACAGGCTGTGGACGCTCTAACTGACCCAGTTTAAGCCTAAAAAGGGAGTAGGACAATCATCAAAATGAAATTTGGCTGAACTATTTTCTCGTTTCTACTTATACAACTGAGCTACATTACATTTAGAACAGTTAAAGAATAGTCTCTGTTATTAATGGGCAAAGCAGAGGACATATTCTGGTATTATGTTTATTCTGAGCACTCATTCATAGCAACTACCCCATAGCAACAAGTTACTTCTCATGAATCTAGCAATGGAGCACAGCATAGACAGATCATTGGCTGAATGTGAGAAAGTCCTGAGCTTTAAGAAGATTCTTGGGAACTCATTTCTGGAATGCCAAGCAGCACCAAAAAAGAAACGTCACTTTCCTTGTCACCAGGCAACGGAAATACCAAACTTATCATCCAGGAAATGCAATCCTTATTTCATAATTTTTTGCGTACAAGAGAGAACCTTGAATAGATTTAATCTATTAATTAATAAAATACAAACTGCAGTTAAAAAGAGCAAATAGATGTGTAGTTTTATTGTATTGTAATAATTAGTGGTTGCATCTGTATAGTGTTCTCTTAACCCTATTCAAATATGTGAGCAAAACTGAAGAACGACATCTACTGGCAGAAACCGGTACTGATACCAGAGAGACAAAAGGAAGCATTAATTGGTACCTTATAGTTCACTGCAACAACAGCTTCCAATTTATACTATATCCTAGAGTAGATTAGATGTGCTTATAGCACAACAAAAACGTATCTATTTATTTAAATGACCTCTTTGTTTAATTTACAGCATCCCTGCTGCGTCAAATGTCGCTGTACAACACACAATTTGTACAATTGGAGGTGAGCCTAAATCTGCTGCCAGGCATTTTTATTTTCTAATCTTCTTGTCCAGTTCTGTCTTGTGGCCCTGAGAAAATACTGCCCCCTGACCTAGCTGGCATGGTCAGAAAAGAACAGCGTGAAAGATGGGCAGGAATGCTGGTAGAAAGCAGGGGTTCAGCACCACTGGCACTGAGAGGGCTTACAGCCGTGGAGAGGGAGCCCCTTTGTTGGAAAGCAGAACTTCTGTGAGAACCTTCGAGCCGCGCAGTCTGAGGTGATGTCTGGCCTTTTCAGCTACAGTAGAACAAAAAGGGCTGCTTCTTTTTCCCACTGGTTTTATCGCTCTTTTATGGACTTAGTGGGAAATGTGCTCCCATAGATCCTAGACTGGGATGAGACTGAAGTTAGGTGAATAAGCTGTGGTCTCTTTTTGGCAGAACTACTTCAACAACAAACAAGAGTGTGTTGATGTTGGGAGAGGAAGCAGTACTGCTACGAAAACTGCCCTTTAACTGAAAGAATCCAAACTTTATTTTGTTTATTGAAAGAAAATACAGAATTAAATACAGATCACTAATGTTTGAGTGAATTTTTGCTACGTTCAGATGCTGGTGAAATAAGATGTTTCAAACGTCGGGCATAAGACCTAATTAAGGTTTTCTGTGAAAACGACATAAATCTTAGAGGTTATAAGGCTTTTTTTTTCTAATGAAAAAGAAAAGATTAATTTAAGGTTTGCAAAAGCGGATTCTGCAGATAGATTAGACCATTATAGCCTGAAATAGCTGAATAACAGTAAAAGATGGCTTGTTTGATGAAGGAATATAAAATAGTCATCTCTGACTTTGAAGACTGTGGGGCTTTTAAAAAATAAATAAATAAATAAATAA